AACAAGGAATCTCTACGTCACGACATTCAAAGTACCCAACATAAATTAATGATTACTTGTATGACAAGAAACGTACCTCTCTTGTATATGTGTTTTGGCCTTTGTAAAGGTCTCGATGTCTATCTAATAGTCTACAGATTTTTTTTTTCTGTTTCTATTGATCTTGGTCAAATATATATATAGGCACATAAATTTCCTATTCTCACAGTAATATAATAGAATAATTATAAAATATTACTAGCTTGACAAATAATATGATCATATTTATCTAGAAAAATACTAAAAGGATAATTATCAAAAAACAATATGTGACGAAGCATTCTTTTCCATATAAAATGAAAATATTTAACTTTTTTAGATTTCTAGTCTATATTTTGTTAACTAATTTTAGCCGCCTAATATTATTGTTTCCCACAAAAAAAAATCTTTCAACCTAATTTTTGGTTTATCAAAAAAGTAAAACCTATTTAATCGAACTAGTCTTTGCCTCTGTTTGCTGAATCTTTCTGCTGCATAAAATCTGTATATCTAATCTTCCTCTACGTCTCTGTCTACAAGATAACATATAGAATCGTTGCCTTCACTTCAACAAGGTTATTTTCATCTCCATCTATGATAGTTGTTTCTTGATCATGTCAATTGTTTGTCCTTTCATTACACTACTTTTGTAGAAACGTTGTTTTGGCAATTTGGAATTAGAATTGTGGGTCCAAATATTGAGATGTCTATATGCTCTTATACAATAGTTTAAAGCTCGTAAGTTTCTAAATTATTTGACTAATATTTCACGTTGATGCTTTTACACAGATTTCACCTCTGTTATTCTTAACAACAACAATATGAAAGAGGTAACATAATATCTAACTATTTCATATTTTGAGTTATTGATTTGTTAGAACCATTTTTTATTGTTTGATTACTACTTGTGTAGATTTCAGATGATAGTCTTGATGATTCATTGATCTATGGTAAATATTATTTCACTTATCATCTTGTAAACCTTATTTGCGTATTCTATTTATTTTGGGAACCTAATCTACTTTGATATAATTCATTTTTCATTAGAACCTCCTCACTTAGGTAACTGGTTTCCGGACTATGTCTATGAATCGCCGATGCTAGATACAAGTGATGGATTTGAATCTCTTATTCCCGGAGAAAGTGAATGTATATATGAGACAGAAATAAAGAAAGAAATCACAAAATCTGAAAGTACAATCGATGTTTGTCATACACAGGTGTTGCTACTTACTTTTGAACCATTTTTAATCTCTATCTAGATAATGAATTATTTTTAATTTCTATCAAAATGATGAATTATTTTCCTTATAGGTTAGAGAAATTGATCATCTAATCATTGATGAAAGTGACATAGAGGAAGATTACAAAAATACGTCTAGCCTTTTTCGAAAACCGGCAAACAACCAAAGTTATACAAAAAGAAGATCTAACCAGAATCGCACTACAACAACAACCACTGAAGAAGAGATAATTTCTTTGAAAATCCGAGTCAATTACCTAGAAGACGAATTAAAGAAATTGCATGATCTTATTAACTCTTTTGTTAGTTCTAATACCAACAATCGAAGGTAAAATATATATATTTGTCAATTATGTATTTTGCTTTTACTAAAAAAAAATTAAGTGTTTATATTCATGTTGTTTAAGCAGGGACTAAGTGGTAGTTATGAGTTGGATACACACAAGGCAAGCTTAAGATGGATGTTTAGCTTTAAGTTTTAAGTTCAAATTTTTATTTACTTTATAAACAATGGAAGCATTTTTAGCTTTTAAGAATAATTATTTTTCCTATATTATTTTTATAGATTTATTGTTATTATTTTATAAACAATGAAATTATGCTCACAATTTTGTCAATGATTGAGAAAACTTTTACATGAGTTAATTAATCTGTAACAATCTTATGACAAAATAATTACGAATTTGTTACAAAATATTTTGGTCTTAATTTAGTATTTAAAAAGTCACAAATGTGTGACAAATTTTGAGTATCAAATTAAAGTCACGATTTACAAGTACATATTGGTAATAAAATCGTCACAGTTGTTACAATAGTTTTTATCGACACAATTTCGTCACGACTTGAGACAAAAATTCGGGGCGACTTTATTCGTTATAATATTGTGACGAAACAATTACGAATTTATGACAAAAAAATACGTTACAAAATTGTATCTACGTAAGTCACAAATTTGTGACTATATATTTTAGTCTCTAACAAAAGTCACAATGATTCACTTTTCTTGTAGTGATATCGGTAAATTCAACACCACTGGTAGAGTGTAATGTTCCATTTGGGTTTGAAATGGTTTTGTTTTGCCAACCATATAAAAGGGATATATCCAAAAGCAAGTATAGCGTGTTAAGTGATCAAAAAGCATGAGGTAGGTACTAGGAAAAGTCCACACATATGTGAATTTGTATTCAAGAGGACTTGTAGAACTACTAGAAGTTTTTGCCTTCTACATATGGTCTTCACTTGATTCAAATAACTACCCTCCCAACACCTTGGTAATTTTATAACTAAGTAGGTCGTGCAGGCTGATCTATGTTTTTCATCTTGGGCATGGTCTTATGTCAACGATATAAGGATATTTAATTAAGGATACTGATATAATTTTCATTATATAGGAGATGAAGTCAACAACACTTTGTATTATACGTGCAAGTCATGACTAAAGTAGTCACCGACGTGCAACCCATCCTGCTCCGTATTTAAGTATCATTCTGTTTTAGCCTTTTGCCACTATTTCGTTTTTATAATTTATCCTCATTCAGTTTCAGGCCAAAGACACAAAAATGGCAACAGATGTTCTCAGCTTCAGGGACGATAGTAGTCTCGAGGACTGGCATGATTTTGAGGTTCTAGGCTGCGGAGACGAGCCCAAGATTCTGATCAAGAAGTCGAGTATGCAGTCCGTATCCGAGAGGCGGATCTCCGTTGATCCGCAATCGCTATTGTCGAGGAACGAGAGCTTCGATATGTTAGTCTCACGTCCGGGAGACATCGATGACATTGCGCTGTCTCGGCCGTTGGATAACCAAACGAAGACGAAGTTTGTGAGCTGCAGCCTCCCGAACTCAGCAGCCACGTCACCTAGACGTAGCTCAAGTTGGAAGAACAGAACCACAGAGCAGGTTCTTGACCTAATGCTGATTCAAGACGCGGCTACAGCGTTCAGGAGAAGCAAATCTTGCGGCGAAGGACGTGCTTGCACACCATCGCTCGATTTCGACATGTTATTGCATAAATCAAGACATGGACACCATAACAATAATAATCATCAGCATCAGCATCATCATCATCATGGCTACTCTTCCTCTAATTCCAAGAGTCTCTCCAACAAGAGTAGTGGAAACAACTCTTTCTTTTCAAAAACAGAGTCTAACAAAACAAGCAGAAGCAATAGCAATAGCAATACCGCGAATTCGAAAAGCATCAGTTCATTCGAAGACGGATTCAAATGCAGCGCTTTGTGTCTCTACTTACCCGGTTTCAGCAAAGGAAAACCCGTGAGATCGTCTCGAAAAGGCGATTCCTCTTTCACTAGAACCACAACGATGACTTCTTCTCAATCTATGGCAAGAACCGCTTCCATCAGAGACACCACGGTACTCTCGGCTCGAGCCTCCCTAGAGCGGTTCGAATGCGGTTCATGGACCTCTTCGGCTATGATATACGATGACAATGTGGATCTTGGTGGCCATTTCTTCGACTTGCCTTCAGAACTGATTAAAGGCGGGCCGGGAGAGAATGACCAAGACGATCCTGTTTCGGCGGCTTTCGTGTTCGACAAGGAACCTAATCTGGAGAAAGAAATCAAAGGTGTTTTGAAGACTTCTGGTTCGAAGTCGAGAAGATCAATGGAGTCGCCACGTCACGTTCGGTTCTCAACCTCGTCGCCGGTTTCTTATCCGACGTCTCCCACACATTCAATCACGCCACGGTTGCTACAAGCCACCGAGGACTTCAGTAGTTTCTTGGAAGCTCAAGCCGTGTGAATGGAGAGAGTTGTGACTATTCTTTTTTTTTTTTTTTCAGTTTTTTTTATTGATTAACCGAATCAAGTTAACCTTCTCTTGCTGAATATATTTTTTTTTTGAGCAATTGCCTAAATCTTTTCCATTGTAAAGAAGTGAATACATGAGAGGAAAAGTGAAAACAATTTTATGGGCTGGGATATATACATATGCAATTAAATAATAAATATGCTAATTTCCAAACCTATTTACTCCCTTTTCATAGTTATTTCAATATTCTTGCTCAAAGACAGACAAGTAACTTTAAAATTATTTTTAATGAATTCATAAATATTATTCCAAAATTTTTCAATAAAAAAAATTAGCAATACATGGATTGCATCACTTTAAATTGTATTGACTAGATGAACCACAATCGATTTTGCAGTGACCTAAATACTAAAATTGAAAGCATTGCTTTTTAGCAACCTTCCAAGATCATTCCAAACATTATATCATATATGAAACCAAAAAAACAAAAATAAAAAACTGCTGTGTTAGAATTACGTACTAAAATTAGTTTAATTTCTATAAGAGTAAATAAACTCTGTGTTCTCTCAGAGAATATTGCAGCTGCAGCAGCGATCATGCAGCCTCGGCCACTTTCTATTAATACTCCCGTAACGTCAATATAATAAATTTTACATAACCAAAAAAAGGACCATCAAACATTAAATTTGACCCATGTCTTGACGTGATAAATCACATATAAATACACATGTATACATTAATTTGATAACCCGTTACCATCAACAAACACCACTCACTACATTTTTTTGGTAACAAACAAACAAACAGGTTTAAAAGAAAACATATTGATGTGAAAATCTGGAATATGGTAGGGACGTAAGGGTTATATTGAATGTGATATATTTATCTTTGCATGACGATTTGGTTTCCGTACCGTCGGTGAACATCACTAAAACCATAATTTATCTTTCATCTTTTAAGCGTCAAAACGTCTCAATGGTTCCAAACACCAAATTTTTTTAGATATATATATATATATATATATATTTGTGTGTGTAGTAATAATCAGTTTGATCCTTTTCAACGTCGTTATGATCAAAATATCAAAGGGAAAAGGTGATTAAGATGTTAATCTATTGAATTAAAATGAACCGTTGGGGAAAATAATTGTGTAGGTCGGTCCAAAACATAAATCTCGGGTTGATTGATTTAACACCGCATATATATATATATATAGTATTATTATTAATAAAACTAGGCTTATGATTCAGCGAGTTGCGAGATTTAACAACCACGAAACATCGGTCCCATATGTTCCCTTTACACACAACCCCACACGTTTCGGCCCCATTCGGTGATCGTCGAGAAAAGCCTAATCGCACGTTCCTTAAGCCTCCCCACTAAAAGCAAAAGCTACATCTTCTTTTGTCGATCTTTTAATTAACTACTACTACAAACTAAACTATACTCTATTATATATATCAAAAACGTCTACTTATGGGGACGGTTATTATTAATCTCTGTAATTGTAAAACTCAAATAAACCTTTTCTATATACCAAGAGTTTTTTAAGCTGTATTTATGAACGCATTACCCAAACTATGATACAATAAAAGAATATACCCCCCAAAAAAGAAAACAATAATGTAACCATCTTGACAACTTTTTCTCTAATTCTTTCTAAAGATGACATTCACTAATTCTTCACTTTTTTAATCATCTCTTCTTCATTGCCGTGTCCGTAGAAGCCTGTTACCGATCGTTCTCAACTCGAATGTTTTCACGGCGAGGCCAACGTCGCGGATTGTAGTGTCGAGGACGTAAGGAGTGTTCTCGAAAACGAGTTTAGAATCGTTGAAAAGGTAACGGCAAGGCTCGCGGCGCTGAGAGATGGAACCGTGGTAATGGAAGTAACGGATTTTGCTCTCGGCCTTGTGGTATGTTCTTCCTTGTAGATTCTGAGACATGTGTACGCCTGTCGCGAATACATTCTCCGGCTGGACCGCGTATTTCCTGTCCCGTCTTGGAACCTTCTTGACGTCTCTATATGCCAGTTTCTCAATTCCCCATTTCCTAAAAACATCAATTAACCATTTAGAGATCAAATCAGTCCCTCATGAACTCAACCAAATCTATAACAATTAGGAATGTTCAAATAATTTGATAAATCAAAAGCCAAACAACGTACTAAACTTATCTACCATGACAAGTAAAAAAGATTGAATTTTGACGCAAATCCTAGTTCTTTATGTTGAATAGAGGAATCAAGAAAATAGAATAATAGAAAACATTTCTCACTCAAATCATGTGATGTGAAATAAAAGCAAAGATCTGGACCGACATAGGAGACTAATACGGGAATGCACAAAGACTTTTGCAGGCCAAGTGTTGACAGAATCAGATGCTTATTGTATAATACTCCTAACTAATATTATATACTCCAAGAAACTTGTGACTATATTCTAATAACTCACTCAATACAACACAACCAACACATGGGATTTGGCTTTAAAAGCTCAATGATTAAAAATGTTGTTACCTGTAAGTTCTAGCCGGACCATCACCGGAATAACAAATCCGACTACTCATAGGCATCTGTTCAATAGTAAACTGAGAATATCCCTCCAAAGATTCCATAACCGACGAGATCGTCTCTTTCGCCGGGACGTAAACGAACTCATCGACATCGAAGAAGAACATCCACTTAGCCATGAATCTATACCTATGTAAACAATCATTCACAACCATGAACTGGTTATGGTAATACCCATCGAACCGTTCTTGATCTCTGATATCATGTAACGTCACTCTCCCTAGCTCAATCCACGGCTTTAGAACCTCCAACACTTCCTCGTGGATCCCTCCGGCGTCGTGAAGCACGAAATGTGACCGTCCACCGAAGAATCTGACGTGGTAAGCGATCCATTCTCTAACTCGCTGCGGACTCAGGTTGCCGTAGAGTGACGAGCCGCAGTAGAGGTAGTCGTACTTCTTCTTCTTCTTCGTGGTGGAGTTGTAGAGATCGAAATCGACGGAGTTTGGGGATTCGGTTAGGACTGGGATTGAGTCGGTGAGGTTGAGACTTGGATCTCCGGTGGTGGCGTGGAGGATGAGATTACCGCCGGAGTTTTGCGGATTCACGGCGGAGAGTGATGAGAATGTGCAGTTAACGACGACTGTTGTGTAGATCCGTCCGTAACCCCAGTCGGTTAGGATTTTAGACCCGGTAGTCGAAATCGGATCTTGAGTCGGGTCGGACGAGACCCATTCGCATCTGTAAGAAGGATGACCGTACACGTGTAAGGGTTTCGATGATAGTCCGATGACGGCGAACGAGTTAACGCCGCCTCTGTAAGCGCTCATCGAGACGAAGTTATAAGCTGCTGAGCCGTAGCCAGTAAACGTCCGTTTAATAACTCCGTTATCCAGAACTCGATCTACCTTCTCCTCCGTCGTCGGTGATGAGGAAGAGGAGGAGGAGGATGATTCTTCTACGGTGGTGGTGGTGTTGAGTGGGGGGACGGCGGAGGCGAAACGTGAGATGCAGAAGCGGAAATCGGAAGTGGAGAGGGAGAAAGAAGAAGGCATGAAAGGTAAGAGAGTGGCTAAAGTGCAGAGAACAAGTAACGCCATGAAAGTGAGCTTGAGCTCGGCGGAGAAGTTCCATATAACCCCGACGAGGAGCTTCTTGTCTTTATTATTATGGTGTTGGTCTTTGTCTTTGACCATGGCCATGACTTGTGGTGGTGGATGTGGTGACTCTTCTCTCGAATCAGAGAAGAAATGAAAATGGAGAGTATAAAAAAGGAAGAAGAAGATGAATAGATTCTCTCCGAAGATGTCTCTCTCTCTCTTTGTTTCTCAACGAGTCGGCGAGTCGAATCGCTTTCAATTATAGTGCTGTGTATGTGTAAGTGTAAACACACCTGTTTTTATTTTGTCTTGTTACCTGCGGCTGTTTTAGTATTAATGTTTTTCTTATTGATCTTTAATTAATGGTTAAGATAATAATATGCAATTAGTATTATGATAATTCCCTAATATGTTGGGATGTTTTATTTTTTCCAGACCTTATTCTGTGATAGTAGTAACACAAAATGGTTAAGGATGAGAATTTTTAGCTGGCTAGAAGTGTTTAATATTCTCCGACTTTTTATCTTTGGTAAATTATTTGATTTTACTCTTTCTGTTTAATTTATTATCAGAGTTCTTTATTCGTTTGGTATGGAATAATAATCTTATTCAAAATAATTGTCTTTTTTTTTTTGTATTATTTTGACTTGCAGACGTCAGAGAGGAAAACCGTATAGTGAAGGGAAGGTCAGGTCAAAATTATTATTCAGAAAAAATTAAGTTATTTATTGAAGACCAAAATTAAGTAAAAATGATTACTAACTAATTGATTGAACGTTTTGTATTTATGTAATTATGGAATCAATTTTTTTGACAATTTATTAATGATAAATTAATAATTCGTTTTAGATGAAGAAAAACAAATTTGGACATGTGCTAAACGACATGTCTAGTATCTATCAACACCAAAAAAAAGGGTTAATTATTAGAAGCCAATAAAATTCAAACACATAATAAAATGCTAATGGTATACAGCTAGTTTCTCAAATGATTGTGTCGTTTTTCTCATTTTAATCTTTCTTTTTTTTGTCGGCTTTCTCATTTTAATCACCAAACTGTTTTGTAAGTTTCTTTTTTTTTTTTTTTTTTTTTTTTTTTTTTTTGGTCACCTGTAAGTTTCTTTTCTAAAATTGTATAGTATGCTTTTTTTTTAATGTCAATAAAATAAATCTGTTTTTGTATACTTTTCAATTACGTAGTTTCGTTTGAAGTTTTGTATGCTTTTAAGGTTCCATTGATCTGTAAGACACATGGCGCCGGCGTGTCTTTTTTGCTTGGCTTCTCTCCAACGTTTTTGCAATCTTTCAATTCCCTTTTCTACAATTTCTTTCCTTTTTTAATTTGTTTCACTTTTTCAAAGCTAAGAAAAGTCGAAAAGCATGTAGTATTTTTACTACAATTACATGAGAGAGCTTCCCAAAGAATACAATTTTGTTTCTATCCGAAGATCATCAAGATTCATTATTATCCACTTTCATTTACTCTTTGCTTTTGCTCAACAAACTGAATTTACTACTACGTAGTGGACTAGTTGTTGAGACGTTGTTGCATAGTAGAAGAATCGGAGAAACAAAACTGATAAGGCCAACGACAACGTGGGTGGGGGAATAAGTAATTAGACCTAGTCCAATACAACTACAACATGTAAATTTGTATCGGAACAGAACTGCTTTTAAACGATCTCAATATGGCAAACACTATACATATTCAGATGCGTCAAATTTCAAATTAATTGGAGAAACTAATAGTATTTGTCTTGGTTTCTTCAAATCCTAAGAGTCAAGAAAAGCTCTCACAACGTCGACGATTGGAGCCATACAGATCGGACATTTCTTACTGCTCCATTGCAATTCGTGAGCACACTTCAGACACGTACACATATGTCCGCACCTACAAAAAAAGAAAAAAGCCAAGATCACTAGTTACATAATTTCAGCGTTTGCGATCAGAAACCGCGATACAGCAAACGACACGTACCTATACAAGAGCGAGTCAACAGGCATCTCAGAGCAAATGCAACACTTGCGTTTCAAAGGATCTTTCTTTGAGTCTACTCCTTCTTCAACCAATGAGCCTAAAAGATTGTTACCATCAGTATAATTCCTAGAAATGATGAATTTTTCTTGAACGTGCTTAATGTTATGATGATAATTAAAACTGACCTGAACGAGAAAGATCTTGAGTTACAGATTTCTGGAAATGAAGTTGCATATCGATGCAAGATTTAACTGAACTTCGTAGCTCGAGCATTTCTCGTTGAAGTTGCTCCATTTGACTCCTTAGTTCACTTATCGTCTGCGTTTCCTGTATATGTGTTAAGTTAAAGATCTTAGTTTACTTCACAGTCACGTAACCTAACTTGACAAGTAAACAAGACCAAAAAACTTACAGATTGGTTTGTGGGGGCTGAAGATTCAGGAAGAGACAAAGTAGTGGCCGGTTCGTGCTCTTTGTCAATGTCTTGATCCCTAAAACTCCATGACATCATGGTACTACTCCTTACTGATGATTGACTGCACACGTCACTTGCAGCTTCAAGATTTGCCTTCTCTGGTTCTTCCTCTGTTTCATTATCTTCTTGGTTCCTTGCTGAACACTCAGCTACCCACTCTTCTTCTTCGCCTTCATCTTCATCTTCGTCTTCTTTTTTTACTTGATTGATTGGTACGCGTATGTGATTTTGCACGCGACTGATCATCAAATTATCGATCTTTTGTCGCAAATCACTCGTCAAAAAGTCGGAAACTGTTCGTCTGCACAGTAATATGCAAATTAATATTAGTCTCTAAAGTTCAAAATCCAAGTTTCAAGTAGAATACTACTAATGGATAATCATGAGTGAACACAGTTACATATACCTTTGAATGAGATTGCAAATATCTTTTTTATCTGATTCAGTGTTGAGAACCTCAAGATACCTTTCTTTCCTTAGATCTTCCCAGTAACTTCGAGGCCGCGATATATCATGAATCCAGTCATCCATATTATCTCCAATGTAAAGATCGTAATCTTCATATTCCTCTTCTTCTCCCATTTCGTTTTCATCCCAATCATTTACAAACTCTACTGCTGCTTCTTTGATGTTATCTCCCTTTTCCTCGCGTTCTACCATCTTGTTTTCTTCATCTTCTAATTCTTTTACGCTGTTTTCGACATTTGGATTCAGAAGAATAGACATATCTTCATCCTGTTGTGAAGAATTATTCCCTTTAGGCCTCTCTTTAGAGCCTTCTCTAATAGATACTTCTTCTTGTGTAACTTCTTCATACTTGTTTCCATCAATCTCTTTAGCTTCCAAGTTTCGAAGAATCAACAATTTTTCACCTTGTTGTGAAGAGTTTTTCTCTCTATCCCTCTCTCTATAGCCATGACCCTTTGATTCTCCTTCTTGTGAAAGTTCTTGAGAATTCTTTCCCTCAATCTCTTTAGTGGACTTAGGTTCTGAGTTTCGCGGAATTGAAGTTTCTTCACTGCGTTGTGAAGGATTCTTCTTTATATCCCTCTCTCTAGAGACATGACTCACAGCTTGTGGATTTATATTTTTATCCTCAGTAATCTTTTTGGACTTAGCTTCTACAGAATCCAAATCTTTCTTTGTAGTTACTTCTCCACTACTCTCTCTATTATCCATCATTTCTTTGTTGCCAATAACTTTCTTCTCCACCGTTTGCTTTGAAGTAGCAATGCTTCTCTCTGCAGTTTCGACATTACTGATTCTTCTTGAAGCTTCTTGCAACACTTCATTTGTCTCAGTATTCCCTTTGCCTTCGATTTTACCTTTACCTTTACCTTTCTCCATAACTTTTCTCCTATTCCTTTTCTCCTTGGAGTTCCACAGATTCACCTTCTCAGCTATCCCCATCAAAGTGTTTCCTTCTACACTTTGCTCCATTTCTCGCCTATCGCCTCTTCCGTCTCCAATTTCTTTCTCAATAGGTTTCTTTAAATCACTCTTTGTCATTGTTTCCCGCAAAAATGTTTCCTCTGATCCCGGTTTACGCAAACAATTATCTTCTTGGGGTTTAATGTTTCTATCTTCAATTTCTTTGGACTTAGATTCCAGAGAAACAGAATCTTCCTTTTCCTTTCTTCTTACTACTTTCGCTGCAAACTCAAACCGCGGTATCATTGTTTCTTTTGAAGTAGCAGTAATGCTTCTTTCCGCACTTTCGACATTAATGATTCTTCTTGTAGCTTCTTCCAATACATCATTTTTCTCAATTCTCTCTGTATTAACTTTGCCTTCAAATTTACCTTTCTCCACCCCTTTTCTCCTATTCATTTTCTCCTCTGAGTTCCATATATTCACCTTCTCAGCTATACCAACCAAAGCCTTCCCTTCCACAATTTCCTTAGCAACAGCTTTCTCCTTTGCTAATTCTCGCCTCTGGCCTTTTTCTTCAGGACTCTCTTTGGCAACAACCTTCTCCTTAGTTTCTAGCTTTACGCCTCTCCCTTCTGTAGTTTTCTTCTGAGTAGCTTCTCCTACGGATTTCTTTAAACCACTGTTATTCTCTGCAATCTCACTCAAGACAGCTTTCTTCGTCTTCTGAACCGCAGAAACCACTTCTTGACTCTCCTTTAAATTACTATTCTCTATTTTTTCTTGCAGAACCTTCTTCTCTATAGCCTTATTAGGATCTTTATCCAGAATCTGACCACGAGAAGACAGAGTACTAGATGAAGCTCCAGTCGCAGTATTCTCAGAATTTGCCTTATATTTCTCCCTGCATTTCATTTTCTTTGATTCATAACTCAGTTATCTCCACAAGATACAAAAACCTGAAAGATCAAGAAAGCTTACCTGAGAAGATGCATCACACCAGAACCTCGAGGCGACCGGTTTAAATCAGATCCTCCAGAAGATGATTTACATCGGTGTCTATCTTGAATTGCAATGCACCTTTCTAAACATCGAATCCTAAGCGTCGACTAAGCACAACATAAAACACAAAGCAACTTAAATCTTTAGCCCTAAAATTCTTAACACCTTGATGATAAGATCAAACAATTATATATACCTGAATCCGGCCACGATGTGTGAACTTTGAAACACAATGGCGTTCTGATAAAACAGCCAGCTCCTTTTCTCGATCACGCATCATCTGCACCAATAAATCAGCCAATGCTTGTCTTCCTCTTATTCTTGGGGAACAAGAAACCTGAGGAAAACATCTAGCTTCTGTTGTCTGAACTTCTTTACTATTGTCGTTGCCATTGTCGTTATTCGTCATTGTTTCTGAGTCATTGCTTAGTTTCCGAATAATATCCATAACTCTGACACCTTCTCTATCTTTCTCTCCAGAATCTGGAGGTGGAAGGATAAAATGTGATACACATTCACCAATCTCTTCCTCCTCCTCCTCCTCATTGTTACCTTCTTCAATCGGCTGAATCAATTCAGATTCTTTAACGGACTCGTCGTTGAGAGAATCAGAATTATCTAACGCGTTTGATCCCAAAGAACTCGTTCTGCTATCGATAAGGGATTGGTTCAAGCTTGGTGGATGCTGCGTTGTCCTGGCCTCCCATATCTGAACCAGAGAAGACGCAGCCATGGTCTCGTTTCTTGACGGGTTCTCGGGTTGACCCGAATACAAATTCGTGTCGGATCCTAGAGAAGAAGACGATGAAGGGACATCGTGACGAGATTCCTCTGTTTTCGTGGTCCGATGATCCGAAACAGAGGATTTGTTGGAAGAACATTCCGGAACGGCTTTGGTGGAATCATCAACAACATCACAATCACCAGAGCTACAGTTATCGAGATGATCTCTGACAAAAACATTGAGATTCTTCTCGTAGGCGACGTGTATGTTTCTGACATTGTTGTTATTGTTATTGTTAATGTTCTTCTTGTTGTTCTTATTATTGTTGTTGTCTCCTCCTCGGGTGCATCTCTCGTGAGGGCGACTCAAGACGCAGTTAAAAGTTCGGCGTGACGACAATTCTACCTCAGAGGACGCCATTTCCATTAACAACCAAATCCCAAAAAAAACAAAAATAAAAACACAAATCCTATAAAATCGGATCTTTCTTAAATAATTTGTTTTAATGCTCTCTGTTTTTAAAATTTATTTCTTGAATCCTTCTGGGGAAGAAGAGCAAGAGCATCGAAACAGGTTAAACACCATTTGATGACAATGATTTTTTGAATACGAAAATGAAAATTTGATTAAAAAGATAAGAGGAAGACAAAGAGACAGAACATGGAGAAAACGAAGAGACAGAGCCCAAAACAGAGCAATGGAGAAAAAAACTAAAAGTCTTTCTGTTTTTTTTTTTTTCTCTATTCCATTTTTCTCTTTAATTTTTTAAGATTTGATGTAATTATCATCCACCAATATTATTTTGGTAAATAATATTACCTTTTGGAGAAAGAAGTAATCCTAATATAGATGAGTCATTAACACTTTAAAAACTAGAAATAAACAGGTTTAGAGGGTGGAAGAAGAGAGACAGTGTCAAAGAAAGAGGGAGAGCATAATTATGGCATTCTCTAATTGAGGGAGTTGACTTGTTTAATTTTGATACATGAATACACCAAACACTCTTTTTTTTCTTTCTTTCTCAAATTTACTGATGACATTTTTTTTTTTGGTAAATAATTTACTGATGACATTATAAGCACTTTTATTACATGTTTCGTTTTCTTTGACTCCAAAATGGATGTTTTAAGAAATTACTTAAAATTCATTGGATATAATATGTGTAGAGTTTATCTCATTTATGTTTAGTCAATTTTTGAATTTTACATAACCTTCGAGTATTTTTTTTTTTTTCATTACAGTGGTGAATTTTAATTAGATATGAATCTGACTGTACTTCAATGATCATTGACTCATTGTTATGATAATTATCTATTAAATTTTAAAACCACTTCTTATATTACATTTAAAAATTTATTGTTGTTGTCTAAAGGGTTTATGATGATAAAAACGTTAATAATGAATGAAATCTACATAAAATTAATAGCCATTAATTTCTTGAAATTATAAAATAAAATAAAAATAAAGTTTTTTTTTTGATCGAGTATAGTAACTCAAAACTCGAAGTAATTAATTTAGTGTATTTGACTCGTGTAATTTACTTAAAACAGATAACTAATTCGATTTTTTTTTTTTTGGTAGAAATAACTAATTCGATTTTAATTAGCACCTTTGTGAAATTCAATTTATATTTTTAAGTTGTAAGGCCATTGGGCTCTAATCCGTATAAAAGCGAAAAAGGCCAAGCCCATTTAAAATTTTCACGCAGACCACAAACACAATCACACACACACACACTAACCCGGCGATCGGAGACTCGTCGCAACAAAAGTAAAATCAACAAATTTCAGGAAGATCCGAAGAAGAAGAAAACGATGCCTCTGAGTGCGACAATGGTCGGAGCTTTACTGGGTCTCGGTACCCAGATGTACTCCAACGCCCTCCGTAAACTCCCTTACATGCGCCGTAAGTCCACCATTCCAATATGCTACAACAACCCTAAATTTAAATTTAAATCCGTTTTCCCATTTTGCTGTGATAAAATGCGATTCTGATTTCTCTGAGGTTCTGATTATTTGTGGAATTGGATGTTTGAATATGTTAGATCCGTGGGAACATGTTGTGGGTATGGGACTTGGTGCTGTGTTCGCGAACCAGCTCGTGAAATGGGATGTGAAGCTTAAGGAAGATCTCGATGTGATGCTCGCTAAAGCTAGAGCTGCTAATGAGCGCCGTTACTTTGGTATTTATTCACTTCTCAGCTTTATTTGGATTTTATTTTACTAAAGTCTTTGTTTTTTTTTGCGGGTTAGTTTGTTTGTTAAAGTAAATGAGAGACAATATTGGCATATAAAATGGCCACAACGCCATTCTTGTCAATGAAGCTTAGGCTACATTATTTCATTTGTTGTGAATTTTAGTGTTCTTGTTTTGCTCAAGGTCTTAATCTTTTGGAACTTTGTCAATTGAGTGATGAATATTTGTGCAGTCTAGCTCGTTGCATATCTATTAGACTATTTGCTTAGAAAGTTTGACTATTTGAGTAGCAATATGTTACAAGATATTAATGAAAATGGAAAGATAGATACTTTTGATTGTTTCTTTGGTTCTAGAGTGAGATGGGTTGCAACTTGCAACTAAGAAATTACCTTATGTTGAATAAGCAGAGAATAGAGGTGAATTTGAAAGGAACCACAAAATGTAGATGTGTCTAGTTTTAGTTTGAGGAAGTTGCTAAGCTTCACAGATGCTTATTAACAAGTTCTGAAGTCTAAGGACTTTCTTCTTTAGTTTCAAGTTAATATCTCTTATCCATTGATCACCATTGGCATATACCTATTCTCGAGGGTCTGACAGAATTTGGTGTTTTACATTTCTTGTTTTAGTGGATTGAATGACTTTCGTAATTAGGTATTGACCTTTTTACTTGTATAACTTGGAAAATTCAAACTTTTCTTTTGTGTTTGTAATGCAGATGAAGATCGGGATTAGTTATTGAGTTACCTTTGAAGTCTTCAGAAAAGAAACTATCTTCCTCTGAAGTCACCTCAAGTGCTTGTTATGTTTGTTTTCACTGTAAAAGCTTTTCTTCTCCTTGTCTTTAGAGCTGAGTTCTCTTTTGCTTTGGCACTGGAGTACTTTTCATTCAATGTTTTTGGTTATGAACATAAAGATTTGTGCTTTCACAATCTGAATCTGTTTGTACCTGGTTAATAATGGTGAATGATAAACCTTGCAATCCTTTTATCTTCTTTTATGAGATTATAATATTTCAGAATTACTTTGTTTAAAATTTGGTTCATGTTGTATAACAAGTGCAAAGCAAAAAAATAAGTGTTTATGTAGTAGATGGTTCAAGTTTGGAACAACCTTTGTACTGAACCATGAATCTATACAAGCAGAAACAGAATTTCAGAAGAAGAAAAATTAAAGTTGTGCAATTTTCATGTCTCCAAAATCATTTGCTGGTAGCATTTGCTGCTATCTGCTTTTACAGCTTCTTATAACCGGCCGTTCTATTGTTGTAGACATGGAGAAGACTATCACAAGCTTCTCTAGAAGAGGGTCTCTCTTGGGGAGAAATTTTTGTGCACTGAAGGGCAAGCTCAAGCACTTGATAAACTGCATCTTCCGCAAATGGCAAAAGTGGCTTAAGCTTTGGATCTATGAGCTTATCTCTCGCAGAACCGGCTATCTCAAGATGTGTTTCAACCCACCTTACCATGTCCATCTCTGCACCAAACATTGAGTCGGTCGGCATTTTTCCAGTCACAATTTCCATCAACACTATCCCCATACTGTAAACGTCACTCTTCTCAGTCGCCTTCAACGAGTAAGCATACTCTGGAAACACAATATCATATATTTAGATTTTAAGCAGTGAATACGCAAGAATGCTTAAAAACTTGAGAAGATGAGTACCTGGAGCGATGTAGCCATAAGAGCATGCAAACCAAGTATTTGAATCTGTGTTGGTATCATAGTTCTCAGTTAAGGCTTTGGCAAGACCAAAATCTCCTAAATGTGCTTCCATGTTTGAATCGAGGAGCACATTACTGGATTTGATATCACGGTGGACGATTGGAGGAACGCAGTCATGATGAAGGTACTCTACTCCTTGAGCCAATCCTACTGCTATTCTCAATCTTGCTTCCCAGTCTAAAGGCTTCTTCTTTTTATCGATCACCGGGTTCTCCTCATGAAGCCAATCCCAGACACTTCCATTCTTCATGTACTCATATATCAACAGATTCAATCCTTCTGACTTGCTGCTGCAGTAACCCATTAGCTTAACCAGATGCCTATGTCTGATTCTCCCAAGCGTCTTAACTTCTCTGCTGAAGCTCTTGTTCGACATGAGATCATCCTTCCAGAGAATCTTTTTCACGGCAACAGTCTCACCATTCTCAAGCTCTGCCTTGTAAACCTTTCCAGAGCCTCCTGATCCAATCATGAACTCCTCGCTTAGATTGTTGGTGGCTTCCATAATGTCTTCCCACTTGATATCTGACTTTGAAGCTCCTGTTCGAAAGAGAGGTTTGTGTGTAGCTTGTGAAGAAGAGTTAGAAGATGAGTACACAGTGCTTCCATCCTGGACTTTCTTGAAGAAATCATGCCTTTGTTTGAAGAATAGAGCGATTACAAGTATCATCAAACCAATCGCTGTCAATGCTGAGATTGCTGAAATTATCACAACTGATCTGGCACTAAGACCCTGTTGCTTGTTGTTACTTCCAGCTCTGTTGCAGCGACTAAGAGGGCTTCCACAGAGACCTGTGTTGCCTATGAAGGAATCAGCTGGCCATCTTGAGAACTGTTTCTTGAGTTTGCCTCCGAGGTTATTGAAAGAGATATTGAGATAGCCCAAACTCTTCATGTCTCCTACTGCACCAGGAACTTCCCCAGTAAGCTGATTGTGAGACAGATCAAGTGTTTCCAGCTTTGATAATGACCCAATTGTTGAAGGTATGTCTCCGGTAAAGTTATTGTAACTGAGGTCCAAAGCACTTTGAAGATCTTGAAGCTGTCCAATCTCAACTGGGATTTCTCCTGTCAAGCTGTTTCTTGATAACCGAAGCTCGTACAGCTTGCTGAGCTTTCCCATAGCTTGAGGAAGTGGACCTGAAAACTGGTTCTTATCGAGGTTAAGGACATTGAGAGCTCCCAAGTTACCTATCTCCTGCGGGATAGACCCGTTAAGTAAGTTTTCATCAAGAGACAACACAAGCAGCTTTGTACAGTTGAACAGCTCAGTAGGCAAAGACTCAATAAACTGATTAGAAGAAAGCTTGAGCTCTCCTAACTGTGAAAGCTTTCCAAGCCATGGAGGTATTGGGCCTGAAAGAAAATTGTTATTGAGATCGATGTGTGTCAGTTTCTTGCACAAGACAAGTTGTAGCGGAATGGTTCCTGTGAGAGAATTGCTTGAGATATCCAACAGCGACAACTCGCGGATTTTCCCCAACGTCCAAGGGATTTTTCCTGTGAATTGATTCTTCCCTAACCTGAGACGATCAAGATTTGGAGAGTTTCCTAGCTCCAGAGGGATCTCATCTTCAAAACCGTTGTTGGTGACATCAAATGAGAGATACAAGCTCGAACCACACAACGGATGAATAGTACCATTGAGCATGTTGTGAGAGAGATTGATTCTGGTGAGGTTCTTCATATTGACAAGTGATTCAGGAAGATTCCCCTGGAGAGAATTGTTGTAAAGCATCAACTGTTCCAATCCCTTTAAGAACCCAAAGGACGAAGGAATTGATCCGGAGAGCTGATTATCCGCCAAATCCAAGATTTTCAGGTGTTGACAGCTACCTAAACTGGCGGGAAGGCCACCCACGAGCTCGTTCTGTCTCAAGTGAAGTAGGTTAAGCTTCTTCAATCTTCCTATTGAAGGAGGAATCTCTCCTTCGAAATGATTCCCGAACAGATCGATCATCTTCAAGCTTGTACAGTTTCCAATCTCTTTTGGAATTTCCCCTGAGAATCGATTCTCATAGAGATACAGAACCTCTAAACTCTTCAGCGCGCTGATCTCCTTTGGTAACTTGCCTTCTAAGTTATTGTGATACAACACAAGCCATTGTAGATTGGTGAGGTTTGATACCAAAGGAGATAACGTACCCTCCAAGGTATTATTGTGGAGATAAAGATCCGTGAGTTCGACTAGCTGGAACAATGCTTCAGGGATCGAGCCAACGAGAGAATTATTCGACAAATCAAGCTGTTTAAGGGATTGACATTTGCTTAATTCCACAGGGATTTCACCTGAAAGCTGAGTTCCAGACAGAACCAATTGCTCCAAGTTTGTGTTGTTCGAACATATGCTCTTTGGTAAAGAACCAGAGAGATGATTGTTTGCTAGAACCATATCAAGAAGCTGACTCATGTTCCAAAGCTCTTCAGGGATCTCTCCGGTGAGATTATTCGCCGATAAATCAAGAGTCTGAAGATTTCTCAGATTAGCCAAACTCTTGGGGATAACATCTTGAAGCTGGTTCGCCATCAAGTTAAGGTACTGGAGCTGGCTCAATTCACCAAGCTGACTCGGTATCTCTCCGGTGAGAGTGTTGTTCGCCAGATTAAGTATCTCGAGGTTCTCAAGACGTCCCAGCTCCGCCGGTATAGTCCCGTTGAGCATGTTCTCCGCCGCGGTGAGCACCGTGAGATCAGAGCAGTTTCCTAAATCCGCAGGAATCGGTCCTTCGAGGTAGTTATCTTGCAACACCAACGACTGAACTCGAACGAGTCGACCAAGCTGACTCGGTATAGGACCGGTTAGTCTACAAGAGGCAAGAGCAAGCATCTGGAGATTAACCAAGTTCCCAAAGGTCTCCGGGATGGATCCGACGAGCTCATTGTCTCCGATCCTGAGTGATCGGAGATTGAGGAGGGAGCCGAGCTGAGTCGGAATCTCGCCGGTGAGTTGGTTGGAAAAGAGAAACAGAGACTCCAAGGAAGTAAGGTTGGAGAGAGCAGTTGGGATGGGACCAATAAGATTGTTGGAAGATAGATCAAGGTGGATTAGGTTGTCTAACCGGCCTAACCAAGGTGAAATCGAACCGGTTAATCCTAAACCGGTAAGGTTTAGAGCGATTACGCGGAATAAACGGGTATCGTCGCATGTGACTCCGGTCCAAGAACAGTGGTTGATGTTAACAGAGTTCCATTGTCGGAGAGGATTGTCTTCTTCTTGATTCGTGATAAAAGATTTCTTCACCTCGAGAAGTGTCTGAAGATCGTTGTTGATACCGGGTTGACCTGAACCGGACATGAATGAAGAACAGAGGATGAACAGAAGGAGGAGAAGAGCTTGTGATTGCTGCATGGTTTCTTCTTCTTATTCTTCTTTCTTATTTGGTTTAGTGAGGAAGCAATGGTTTTAAGAAAGGGTACATGGGGATTTTATGGCATTTGCTCGAGTCTTGTTGCAGAGACTGGTGGAGAAGGAAACTGATTGGCCATTAGAACGGTGCATAGCCACATAGGGAGACTCTTTCTGAGTAAATGCAAAAGAACGAAGCTTTGGAACTTAATGTGAGTTTCTCTCTTTCTCTTCTTTTCTTTCACTGTTTTATTGAAAGATCAAGAGAGAGAGTAAATGAAGAGATGGGGCAATGTGGGAGAGAGAGAGAGAGAGGTCAAAACTCAAAAGGGTCAGAGGAGAGATGTGGGAAAATGGAATTGGGAAGGCTCCTTAAATGAATGTTGTGGCAAAGGTCAACGGTCACACCTCAAATTATAGTATTGTTAGTAAAAGATATGCGTGTGTACATCATTCGTCCGTGGAGACATGTTATATATGTTACACTTAATATTAAACTGTGCCTAAACTTTGACATAACATTGTTCTTCTTTTCGAAACCACACATAATATATAAATAATGGAGTGTACTTTGCATTCACATCAACCTTGTACAAAGTTATATAAGCTTACATGATTTTAGCTAGGAAATTCTCACGCATTCTATTTCGTATGATCAGATCAGTTAAGCGAAATCGCAACTTGTAACAATTAGATTCATGGATGGTGATACACTATATTCAAGTTAAATTCTATATAAGGAGTTCCTAGTTAAATGATGTTGTTCCTCCATTAAAATGAAACCTCGGAGTTAACTTATAAAAGGTTTTAGATCGATCATTCCACTTCACAAAGTTCTATCATTCATTGTATTTTATCTATCGGAAGATGATTACTACGCTGAATATAGATAGAGTGTCGACTCTACACGATTTC